TAACACCCCTCTATATACGGTGCACAAGGATATAGTGGTTTAAATGGAAATACTTTAGCAATAGCTTCAGAGCATGAGAAAGTACAAACAACTTGGACAACAAATTCAGGACTAAGTACTTCAACACGGAATATGGCTCGCGTAGATATTGGAAGCTCGGGTTTGCCATCGCCATATTCAGTTCCCTAGGTCTAATGGAGCTGACAGTGGACTTGTAAGGGTAGCCGAATCCACTAGAACAAGTGAGTATGGACCATTCAGTGCTAATAATAACACTTTGAACACTGCTGGTGATCGGGTAGTTGCTGCTGCTGCTAATAGAGAAGGAAATCTTGATCCACCTCATATCGACGCTGCTTTTCCTTCTGGTAATTCTAGAGTTTCACGGTTGGTTGCTGGTGCTAATACAGAGCCACGTGGTGCTGAGGCTGCTTTGCCTTCTGCTAATACTAGAGGTTCTATGTTGAACAGAGACTTTGGTACTAGCTCTGTTGAGTCCACAGACAACTCCCTGCTTGCCTTGGAGCAACGCGTCGAAGAAGCTTGTGCTATGGTCGAAAGAGTGCTCAGGGAGAGAGAAGAGCGGGAACTGTTTGGAAGAGAAATAGAAAAAAAAGAACGAGAAATAAGAGAACTCAGAGCAAGAAAGAGGAGAGAGAGGGAAGCAAGGGAGCTAGAGGAAGCCAGCAGATGGCCGCAAGAACAGGAGGCCATCACTGGACGCTCACAGTGGTTGTGTGAACATTACCAGAGACATTGCAGAGTGCGGTTCCCTTGTTGCAGCCACTTCTATTCATGCCACCGCTGCCACAACAACTCAAAAGCATGTGATAATGAAGAGGCTAAGGCAAGCCATGCCACTCACCTTAAGTGTTCGTTCTGTCAACAGGAACAAGAGGTGAGCGTTTTTATTCTTTAATAGTGTTCTGCATAGCTTATATTATTTAAATTAACTGGTGACATGAGCCTGGCAGCCGGTGGGTTGGGGGAGGGGAAAGTTGGTGCTCATTCCTATTAGAGGTCAGAATGATTAGTTCCTAAAGAAACTGTTGTGCTGCATCAGCGGGCGAGTGAAACATTTGAGTGATTACGTTGACAAGGTAAATATTAACTTCTGTAGAGAATTTTGGAAAGCTGACATTTCGAGCGTTTGCGTTCTGCATAGCTTGTATTGTTTAAATTAACTGGTGAAAAGGGCTTCCCGGTCGGTGGGTTGGGGAGAGGAGGGGGAGTGGTACTCATTCCTGTTAGAGGTACACTACAGAGTGATTAGTTTTTAAAGAAACAGTTGTACTGCGTCGGCGGGTGATAATCAACTTGAAGTTGATTGTCGTAGCGAATTTGGAATGCTGACATTTCGAGGGTTAGTCCTTCGTCAGAGCTTATCTATTAGACGTATTAAGCACGCGTCGTGCACGCATGCTTCATACACGCACGCTGCGTACACTCAGTATGTCTGTAGTTTTTGAACAAGAAGACCTGAACATTGTTCCTAGTCAGTAAAATATTTTGTGCTTCTCTGTTGTTGTAGATCGGTGAAGACAGTGGAAAGTGTCGTAGCTGTGGAGGCAACATGTCTGCTTATTTTTGCTCCATCTGTAAACATTTCACCAGTGTGGATAAGAATCCGTACCACTGTGAAAAATGTGGAATATGCCGGTGAGTACTTTGAACGTAAACGTTTCCCATTAAATAGATTTCATTTCGCCCCCTCCCCTCCCCCCCCCCCCCCCCCCTCCCCCGATTCTAATCCCACTTTCCCATATGATGTGTAATAAATGTTATCCCTTTTCTCAGAATCCACGAGGATAAATCTTTCCACTGTGTCGTATGCAATGTCTGTCTGGACAAGCGGCTGGAAGGAAAACACAAATGCAGACCAGATTCAGGACACGATGAGTGCTGTATCTGCCTGGAGGTCAGTTGGTAAATTAATATCCACACCGGTTACTCACACTTTCCCGCCATACGTAACTCGCGTTCGTCATACGCCGCTTTCCCGCCATACGTTACTGACGCTTTCCCGCCTTGACTAACTCACGCGTCCCGCCATACGCCACGAACGCTTTCCCGCCATACGCAACTCACTCTTTCCCGCCATACGTAACTCGCACTTTCCCGCCATGCGTTACAGCGTAACCCGCGCTTCTCACTCGTCACACGATCTTTTTTCATATTTGGTCAGTGGAATCAATCGCAATAATAATTATTATAATGTTAACTTGTTATCAATGTTTTGTTTAGGATGCATTCAGTGGTTGCCAAATCTTGCCATGTTCACATAAGGTCCATCGGGAATGCGCCATAGCTATGATACAGAACGGAATGTAAGTACACTTAACATATTGTGCAGCTTAGTTTTTTAATTTTCTTTTGGTCAAAACCGGATTGCTTTTCTGACTTCTTAGCGGAAGACTTCAAGGCACTGGATTCGCAAATGAAGCATTCTCCTCATTTTTCTTAGAAAATACTGATCATACGGCATAGCATTTTAGAGTGCCAATACGCACAAAGACGAGAGCAAATATGAGACCGTATTACACGGGTCTTAGTCCCCCTGACCGCGCGCTACGGAAAACACTGTTGAAAGCCTATATTTTAGGAAAGATATTATGTCGTATAATAAAAGGCTCGAAAAAATAAAAACTGACTCGTAAAAATACCCAGCCGTATTACACAACTTTCCGCTGAATAACCTCTTTATATTACTCGTGGTTTAAACTTCCGTATACAATAAGGGACTCGCTGTAAGATCCTAATGGTGTTTTTCGTGACTCCCCTTTACCACCTTCAACTTGATGGCATCTCTTTTCCCTCTGTCATAAAGGCTTTCTATTGCCCGTTCCAGGCTGTCCGAGACCGTAAGGAGTCGGTGCACGAAAGAGCGGATTAAAACTCGGAGTCTATATCACTAGCAAACTGGCCGATTTAGACGGTACAACTTTGTCGCATGCGACATGCGTACGACAAGCCCACGACACGAATTGTGTCGTGTAAATCAAACCTACAACTTGCTTACGATTATCGTGTATGACACGAAAAATGTCGTAGGATTTTGAAACATGTTTTAAAACCATACGACAAATCGTTGCCACAGACAATGTTAAATGATGGGGGTTGTATACGATTTTTGCATGACCTCGCTACAAAAGTCGCACGCGACAAAGTTGTGTGGTTTCGAAGCCATGATGTTCATCTGAAAGGTTTCTCCCTTCCCGTAAAAAGAACATAAAGAAAACAAACAATTTCGATTGACTGTTTGTTCTTTGTGTTTGTAGTCGCACGTGCCCAGTGTGTCGACACCCATTGTACAGCTCTGCGGCCTCTGAGTGAAAATTACGTCGCTGGAACCTCCCTCGTCTCCAAGCAAGAAACTTCTTGATGTCAGACTATTTAGTCTTCGCGGTTAGTTAGTTACCGTAAGGAAATGTTTGCCTAGAATAGAGTGGTTGTACAAATTTTGAGTATAGAGAAGGCAATCATAATTAACTTGGTCTTAAAGAGTTTCAATGCAGGATTTTTGTCTTAATTTGTGACGAACATAGGTGTTGATCCTTCCACGTGACTACCGTAATTTTTCGATCTAGCGCCCTCCTTCTAATGAGCGCCCCAGTCAAATAAACGCCCCTCTGAATTTTTTTTTTTTTTGCAATGAGCACCCCAACTCCAACATTAGCAACCTTTAGATCGGAGTATCCGAGTACGAGTACGAGATTGAGTACGACTTTTCAAACCAAGTGCGCAGGGCTTACATCAACACGTCTAACACCAATCTCGTTCCTGGAGCCTCCTTCTCTACTGGTCAGCAGCATGGTGGAGTGAGGGCTCTGGGAACGTGACTGATTTGAAATTCGAAAGTCATACTCCGACGTAAAGGTCGCTATTAGCGCTCAGAGTCCGACTGTTTTTTAGTTTCGAAAATCCTTCCCCTTCCGTGAGCTCACGAAATTAAATTATCGCGCCGGGCGGGAAGTCGAATCATTACGGTATTGAGCAAAGTGATAAGATTTAGTGATAAGATTTTATTATTCATCTCTAAGCTTGCCGCGCAGAAAAGGCTTTTTTAAAGTCGTGTTCTATTGGTATCAACCGTTTCTCAACCGCAACCGGTTTAGGTTGAGGTTTCCCCCAATAGAACACTTTTCCAACCGTTTCAACCTAGTTTCGGTTCGGTTGAAAAAGTTGATCAACCAAACCAACCGAAAACGTTTTTTTTTTTCCCAATAGAACACGAAAAAAACCCCAACCAACCTAAAACGGTTTTTTCCCAATAGAATACGACCTTAGACAGCGGTGATTCCTTGTGCGTTAATCTCGATTAATCCAAGCCTTTTCATTTACAAATGTATATTTTATTTTATTTATAAATGTCATGTTTATTGACAGTGTAGTTATTTAAGAACGACCGTCGGTAACTCTCGATAAAAAAAAAAAGTGCTAAAAAAAAAATTTGGATACCATGTTTAAATTATTTGAATATTAATATTAATATATACCAAATTCGTTGAGTTACTGTTCTTGAAATATCTTCCAGTTGTTTGAGAATCATTACCAAGAGGATCGTTATTTGTAATGATATTAGCTTATTTCTTCACCTTAGTTTCTGTTACTGTATACAAATGTTTTCTTATTTTTATTAAATACCCGAAGGTGATTGAAGACTAACTGTGTGATATTTTATTTTGTCAGCTTATATGGCTTCTCTTTTCTTCAGTAATTCTCTCTTCTCTCTGCAAAATTAGGTTTTACTTTTCTGGAGCACTGTTAGGTGGAATATTGAAGATGCGCTCGCTTTTTTTTCTTTCCTTTCAACGATTCATGGCGGAAAATAGGGTCAGCTACGATTCCAACAATATACCTCTAGCCCGAGCCTCTAGCATTCGTTTGAAGTAATTTCTTCTTAATGTATATTCCAATGAATTAAACTGAATAATAATAGAAACAAGGAGAAATGTGTTAATCAGTCAAAAACACAAGTTACTCGGAAATTGTTTTTAGAGTTCTCCCAACAGGAGTCGAGCCAGTGACCTTCTGCACACCGGTCAGACGCTCTAACCACTGAGGTACATAAAACTCGTGTTAGCTTGGCCACGTAACCAGATGACTAGTGACATCCCGCATACTGCTAGGATTAGTTTTGTAGTACATTTTATGACGAGAAAGATGTTAGTCAGTGACACAAGGGTATTTACATGTTTTTATTTCATTTTGTACAGTTTGTCTCGTAGATTCCCGACTGTTTTCTGTTTACGAGTTTCCTAGTTACATGGCCTATCTCCCAGGAGTCTCCTGTAGCTCAGTGGTGTTCGTCGTGATTTCGAGAGAGAAACAGACTGCGTGCACGCAACTGGCTGGCTGAGAATCACCGGATTTTCAGATCCAGCTAGCATTCTAGCCAGTTTACTCCTAGACACATTCAAGAGTCATTATTGCCAACGGTCCTCTGAGAAAATAGAGAGGCTGTCAGTGTGCCCATGCTAAGTTTCTTCTTCGTTGGTGTTGATTGGAAGGATTTCAATTGGTTAGAGCATTGTTTCCCCCCACAGGGGCAGTTAGTCGGGGCGACGAAAGTTTACAAGAACGCCGATATTGTTCGCCCCGAGTAACGTTTTACTCATAGTCTTTTGCGCCGGAGTTGAAAGATGGCGGAGGACGAAAGTTGAATTCGATTGAGACACAAGGGTCCAGAGGAGTTCAATTTGGTCGTAAAACACGCTTCGAACGTCCTACAAAACGGCATACCGTAAAGCCCCTTCCACACGAGCAAGTTTTCCTTGACAAGGGATATTGACAATTTTTATTTGCTCGTGTGGATAAACAACAAATTTAATTTGACAAGTTTTTCCTTGACAAATTTTATTTGCTCGTGTGAACGACAATTTTTCTTTGTAACAACAATAATATTGTACAGCGGATTATCATCTTTAATAGGACCCAGGTCAGGTCAAGATATATGAGGCAGCTGGGCACCAGGGATTCCTTGTCATATTTTCCTTTTGCATCGTCCACACGAACAATTGCCAAATTTCTCTTTCCACACGAGCAAAGAAAAATTGTCAAGTGAAAACTTGTCAAGGAAAACTTGCTCGTGTGGAAGGGGCTTACAGTCAAACTACTGTAACCGGGGCCACCCAGACAAAGTTAGCCAATCACAGGGCAGAACGGGAACAATACATTCCAACATTTTTTAATTGAGCCAATCCGATGTCGAGTACAGAACAATGAAATTGCAACTTCTTCGTTCGCGATGAATACAGATGAATGAAATTTTGTGCGGTTCTACGGCGTGGATTTTCGATTTCAACCCTTTTATATTTGACTAGTTTTAGCAGTACGATTTGGAAGTTAAAGATATGCGAGTCAATAAAAGAGAAACTCCAAACTGCGTGAAAACTGGGAATGCGACGGTTGTACAGTATGTTTCTTCTCAGAATAAAAGTGCGTGGCGGATTTGAAATAATTTGTTTGCTCTTGACAAATTCAAGTTTTCTCTACGGAGTCAACCACAGTGTTCAACCGGCTGAATAGCTACACTTGTCAGGGTTTTGGCAGTACCATTTGGAAAATAAATACACTTGACGCCAGCAAGGGAAGACTTTATATTCCAAACTGCATAAAGTCAGTGCACGCAATGGCCAATAGTTTCGGCAAAGTTCGTGACGGATTCAGTGAAAACAACGAAAGCACGGCTTGTTTACCAGCGTGATGAATTCAGTTCAGTTTTATACATTGTCGGGGTTTTGTCAGTACAATTTGGCTGAAATTAAAATAATAAGTAAAAGAGAAATTCAAAATTGCAAGAAGAGTGTCGGCTGTATATTTGAAGTTTCGGCAAAGTGAATCATGTGAATTGTAGCGAGAAAGAACTCAACCGCCGGAGTAGAATATTTGCAATTGCCGGCAGAGTTTGAATCACATTTCGTAACGGCAAATTATTTCAGTATTACAGTTATTTCTGATCGCATGAGAGAAAGAAGCCAACTCAGTGCTAGCAGATCAAACACAGAGTCGCTTCGATCTTTCCTAGAAAATTCGGGACTTTTCCCTAGAACAGTCAGGACTTTTCTCGGAAAGATCGAAGCGATTTTACTGGCACTGAGTTGGCTTCTTTTCTCAGTAATTTTTCCGAAAGGATTCGAAACAGTTTCGAAAGTTCAACGCAAATCAGACAATAGTCATGCGATCAGAAATGACTGTAATAAAGAATTCGCCGTTACGAAACGTGATTCTGACTGCCGGCAAAATATTCTACTCCGGCGGTTGAGTTCTTTCTCGCGACAATTCACTTTGCCGAAACTTCAAATACATGTATACAGCCGACACTCTTTTTATGCAACTTTGAATTTCTCTTTTACTTATTTTTTTAATTTCAGCCAAATTGTACTGACAAAATAAAACCAGGCGCGTGGAACAAGATGGAAAAATCAAAGATCCGACAATGTATAAAAAACTGAATTCATCACAATGGTAAAACAAGCCGTGCTTTCGTTGTTTTCAAATCCGTCACGCACTTTGCCGGAACTATTGGCCGTCGTATGCAGTTTGGAATATAAAGTCTGCCCTCGCTGGCATCAAGTGTATTTATTTTCCAAATGGTACTGCCAAAACCCGGACATGCGTAGCTATTCAGCCGGTTGACGCCGTAGAGAAAACTTGAATTTGTCAAGAGCGAACAAATTATTTCAAATCCGCCACGCACTTTTATTCGAGGAAACATACTGTACAACCGTCGCATTCCCAGTTTTCACGCAGTTTGGAGTTTCTCTTTTATTGACTCGCATATATTTTCCTTCCAAATCGTACTGCTAAAACTTGTCAAAGATAAAAGGGTTGAAATCGAAAATCCACGCCGTAGAACCGCACAAAATTTCATTCATCTGACAGTGTATTCATCGCGAACGAAGAAGTTGCAATTTCATTGTTCTGTACTCGACATTGGATTGGCTCAATTCAAAAATGTTGGAATGTATTGTTCCCGTTCTGCCCTGTGATTGGTTAACTTTGTCTGGGTGGCCCCGGTTACAGTAGTTTGACTGTAACAGCTCTATTTGGGGGCCTTATTAGAGAGGAAGTGGGCTTAATAGAGAGGGGAGAGGGGGCTTATTTCAAATCATAATTTTTCAAGCTTTATATTACACCACCAACTAAAACATATCACCGTCTTATAATTGGAATGGAATTTATACCCTAACTCAACGATAGTTTCAATACAAAGTGACTGAAACGCCAGAAAACATTGCTGAAAAGCAGGAGCATATCACCCCAGCGTAGTTACACCTTGGGCTATTTTTAGAATCATTCTCCCGCGAAAAGATTTTCGTGAATATCCGCGGACATTAGTGATAATTCGTAGTAACGACATTCCGCGGTTCTAGTTTTATTCCACGTTCCTCTCGTCCATTCTTTGTTTTATTTTTAATCTGAAACATGAATGGCAACCTCGTGCTCGCAACGGGTGATTTGCAATAAGGGAGATGGAGGCTCCAGGGTGATATCCCCCTGTGAAAAGTCATTTACATCAACCTGACGGAAAGAGCGGGGCTTCTTCCAAAGGGGGGCGGGTGGGGGGCTTATTAGAGAGGGGGGCTAAATTGAGATTTTCTGGGTGTTTCTTGGTGTTGCGGAAACCATTGTTGGTTAGCTATTGTGTTGTGGTGTGGGAATTGTTTATTGTCTTTTGAATCTTTTGTTTTACGTCATTTGGTGATCGCACCAAGAAAATCTGTTTTCCTTGCGTAGGCACAATCTCGTCCCCAGAGCCAGCGCGTTTCGGTCAGCGGTGACCAAATGGTGCTTGAGCAATCGGTCCTGCTCGTAGTTTATTTACATTTACATTTCGTAGTCCTGATGATAGTGATGATACGGTATGGCGTAGTTTGGCGTTCGAAGCGTGTTTTGTCAGTTTTGTACCATTGAGATGGAAAAAGGTGTACATTCTGAATCCCCTGTTTCACGATCGTCGTCGACTTCAGCAGAAAAAAGTGAAGAAGGTAAACCCAGTTCTTCCTTTCTGTTCATCGAGAAATTTGATGTTTGTAAACTCGATCTCTTCATTTCAGTGTCTTTTCAGACTCAAAATATTCTGGAATCCGATGCAGAAGTCATGCAGGTAAGCCGGGCAACCAGTTTCAGTTGTCGAAAGGAGTAGCTTGCCTTTGCAGTAATTTGTCAAGCGTTGGTGCCGGTGCAGTTGGAAGCCGGGCGATGGGATTTTCTGGTAGAAAAACGCCTGGGGGGGTACTACCTATAATGGACTATACGGGGAGGCTCCACCCGAAAGGGGTACCTTTTCAGACTGGAGGTATATAAAAGGGTAGGGAGATTTCACGAGTTGGAGTATAGAAAAGGGTAGGGATTTCACGAGTTGGAGTATAGAAAAAGGTAGGGATTTCACGAGTTGGAGTATAGAAAAGGGTAGGGCTTTCACGAGTTGGAGTATAGAAAAGGGAATGGAAAAACTGTCATTTAGGTATGAGGTGGACTGCAGGTTTGAAGTTCTTAGCCATCGTAAGACAGCTTCATTCCACTTCCTTCTGGGGATATATATTGTTCATTAAGTTCATTCAAAGGGTATAGAAAAGGGATGCAGTGTTTCTACTGTAGGTATGTGAAAGGGGTACCATTTTCATAATTTCTATGGAAGGTATATGAAAGGGGTACCATTTTCCATGGAAGGTATATGAAAGGGGTACCTTTTCTGTCAAAAATGGTATATAAAAGGGTAAGGGGTTGGACCTCTGGGCGGAGCCTCCCCGTATAAAACTTTTTTGAGTACCCCCGGGGTTCGAATTTGGAGATATTGGAATATTAATTACTTTCCACCCTTTTCATTTAATTAGATGTACAGTAAACAACAAAAACAATAATTATTAATCCTTCAAATCGCTTAAATTCGCCGTTTTGAGCCACAAAAACGACAGTACACAAGAGAAAAGGTAAATTTACGTTTATTCAACATGTTTTTGTTCATAGTTTAAGTGAATATTTGCAATTCTACGAACCATTCAGTAAATCCCATACATTCACTATGAAAATGCAAAATAGCTGTGACACAATCAAACAGTTTGTCTGGG